TCTAACAACATCAATAGTTTATATGAGGTCGCAGGTTCGATTGCCGGTCAGGTCAATGTAGATTAGAAACGCATAAATATGGTAAAAGGATGTTACATAAAAAAATCTTTCTAAAGTTATTTTGTCTGTGCTTTATTGGTTTTAAAAGGACTTAGGTGATTATTGGTTGTGTGCCTTTGTTAAGTGTGGCGAAATCTATTTGTTAGCGGCTCTTACAGCAAGATAGGTACTGAATTGATCTACTTGGTTTACATTGATTTCCTAACTTTTTACAGTAGAAGCATTGCGTTGTAGGACTTGTGCATTTTTGTACATGTTATGTTTTTAATGGTACCTATATTGTCTCGTAGTGTTATATAATACCATCTTTATCTCCGATACTCTGATACTGCGTTAGAATTTTATGGTATCATCTTGATATCTGAGCAGTGTATGCGATGTTAAATAATATTTATATTTTTATTTTAAAGACAGTTTTAAGTCGACGATGTTACAATTCATCTCAACTTCGGTCAAAGATTCATTCCATTTATGTTTACTCCTGGTGCGTCGTTCTCGGCAATATATTCTAAACTTGAGATAGTGCCGGCGATAACGCAAGGGACGAGCCCTATGTTAGGGTTGGTTAGGGTTGTTCCTTCTCTGTAGGGCTGACAGACAAGTAAATGTAAAATTTGTTAAATATGTATGTTACTCGTAGGTCCTTACATATGAAATTGGTGTTTGGTATAGGAGGAACAAAAAGTCGAATATTTTTTAATATATTTATTTAATCAAAGTATAAATCATTGTTATCTATGCACTTTTGCCATCTCATAGGTAGTTCATTGATTTCCTTACTAAAAAACCATTCGGATGGGAATCAATAAAATCTTTGAAGGCGATTTGCACTGCCCCATCGGAGTTTAATTTTTTCCCTTGAAGGAAATTATCCAAATTTCGAATAAAATGGTAATTAAACGGTAAAATGGTCGAGCGTTGTCATGAACTAGCAGTGGCGTAGAGCGATTGAGCAGCCTCGGTTCTTTAACAGCTAGTTTTTCCAGCATGGTTTGCAATTGCTGACAATAGACGACTGCCGTAATCGTCTGGTCAGATTTGAGAAAATTGTAATGAAGGACACCGGCAATAGTCCACCAAACACTTACAAGTAACTTTTTTGAGGTAAATTTTCGCTTAGGTCAGGAATTAGCTGGCATGCCAGGGTCCAACCATTGCGATGAGCGCTTTTAAATATCGTAGAGAATTCACTTTTCATCACAGGTAATCATTCGATTTTAAAACCCTTCATTATTGTGCCGGTTAGGTCAGTACAGTTAGGTCTCCGGCCGTCCACGGGGCTTGTTCTGCAGGTTGAAATTTACAAAACGAAAACGTTGGAACCAAAAACGCACTGTGTTTTCTTTTGCGACACAACTGCCATACACACTGTTAACCCTTCGAGCCGTTTCCGCAGCACTGGTACCACAGTGGAACTCGTACTCGTAAATTACACAATATTTCAAGTTTTCCATTTTTTATACTGGGTGACGTAAATAGGACAAACAGAAGAAAAAAATAATAATTTGGCCAGTACGCCAAAACTCCATTTTCATATGTAAGGACCTAATATATATTTTTTATTTTGATTTAAGATTTTAGTATTTACTTTTTATGAGCTCCGATATAACAACATATTTGCCGTTATACTAACATCAATCACCAAAGAAATGATGAGTTTCCTATTTTAAGCAAATGATGTTAAATATACCATAATATTGAGTTCGTTAGATATTGTTGTATAATTACGCTATTTCATCAATATCACACATTTGACACTCCTTCTTTGCAATAGCAAGCTCGTGATTTATATCTATGGAGATTGGTGCTATTATAATGGACGATGAATTTTTGCCCGGAACAGCTGAATAGCTGAATCAATCAATCACAAACAAAAAATATTACCTTATTACTTACATTTTATTTGGAATATAATAGTTGACAGCCCTATCCTCCCACCCACTACTGCAACATGCGTATGTTTTCATAACATCGAGGAGACACTTATTTAACTACTTGTCTCTAAGTACATCTCACAGAACGCAGAGCTTTCCTTGTTCTATGCAACATACAGCACTATAATATAATAAACCAGTCATTTGAAACATTCAATTAACGATAATCCTGTTCTAAGCTTTTATTAATTTTCGTTGATAGTTTCTTGTACTCTAGACTTAAACATTACTGAAAATTCAAAAAGCTACATCTTAACGTAAGCATTTAGTTTAAATAACACGAAGAAAATTACAAAAGTACTTCAACCGCAGATTGTTTTTAAATTAAAAAAAAACGTTCAGTTATTCAACCAAAACATTTATTTTTGTAGAAATAATGGAAAATATAATGAATTTTAGGGCTATATAACATTTTTATTAAGACGATTTAGAAATATAATATAAAATAAATAAATAAATATTAAACAACATCACATACATTGCTCAGATTCCAAGATGTGTAGCTGAAGCCCACATATTATGGAGTATCTGAGACAGCCAAGTTACCACAACACCCAGACCAGAGACATTATAGAAAAGTTAATTTTCTACATTGACCCGACCGGTAATCGAACCCGGGCCCTCAAAGATGGCGACATCTTGACACCGGCGTGCGGCTACATAAATCCATTTGTAGTTTCAGAAATAATGAGATTTTGCAGTGCTTATACCTATAATAAGACATTTCGCGATATTCTCTACCTTACTAGTTGGTTAGTAACCAGCCCTGCGATTCTGTAAAACTTCAAACCCGAATTCGAATCCACTCAGGTGTCCACTTCAAAAAGCGGCATCCGCTCAAACTTGAATTGGTAATAATGTTTTGTGAAGTGAGTTTCGAAATGATATAGGATTAAAATATCTAAGACACGTTTAATCAATCAATTTTGTTTAGTACTTTTATACAAAAAATGGAATCAATAGGATTTATTTATTAAATGACGAGAATTCGAACACATGAGTAAATTCGAATTCGGGGTCTGGATTTTTACAGAATCGCAGGGCTGTTGTCTCTTACTATGTAGTTGGTCACTTACTAGTTATAAGTGAGAGAATATCGCGGTTAAAACGTAAACAATGGTAACGTTTTTTTGACACTGCAAGTCTTCTTCTTCTTCTTAACTTTAATGGCACTTTGCGTCACCACAATACTGTCAACTACTTGACACTTAACGTAATTAGTGAAAAACTAACTACATATATATACATGACTCAAAAGGACTAGTATCGAGCTTTTAACGCCAATATAAAAACATAACGACGTAGAGAAGACGGTGCTTTAAAAAAATTCGTTTCCAAATCGATCAAATATCCGAATCGTGTAATCGGGCTGATCGATTCACATGTAGAAAATCTATAGTAAATAATATTTTATTAGTGTTTAAATGTCACAATAAATGCGAGAAAAATGAAAAACCAGTCTTTTTATATTGGTGTATATTTAGAAGGCTGAGATCTATTTTATGTATTACTATCAATGTATTAGTATTTATTATTTTTATCAAATTTTTATTCATCACAAAAGGAAAACTTTAAAAGTAAGAATAAATAATTTCCTTCTCAGAATCCAAAACCAATTTGACCAACGCTGATATGGTAAAAAGAAACGTATGTCTGCGCGCAGTCTTGTATGACAGCAGTGGCCTATTTTCTCACTTAAAAATCTATCGCAATTCCTTTAAAAGGCAATTTATAGAAGCGATTTATAGAATTATGTAACCTTTAAAATCGCAATTGCTTTCGGAACGAATGATGATCTGAATAATCAAAAATCGCAATAAAAACTTTTGTAAAACACTTAAAGTAATATTTGTGACTAACGCATAATTTAGGCATACCTTAAACGATCAATAATATTGCGCAATATTGTGCAATATAATTAATCATCTACAGCTAATATAGAAGATTCCGCAATAATTGAACGAAAGTTTGTGCGAGCTTACTTATTATTTGCCATATTTTTCGATTGCGACGTGTAGGGTCAGTATCACATATTAATTTTTTGTCTGTTTTGTCTTGACGAGGAGAACACGTGCTTTTGTAATTGTACCAAGCCCAGTTGTTATAAAAAGTTTCTAAATTTTCTTTCTCAGTTAACATCAAGTCTTTTTTTTATAAGTATATTTGATAGTTTTTAAATACTTCTCTTAAATACTATTTCTCAATTTTTAAATACTTTAACATTTTATTTGAATCTTTATTCGAATGGTAATAATATAATAATTAATCAATTCTTAATTTTCTTTAACAATGATACTCATATTTGCAATATTAAAATTTTTGAGCAGACGTTTTGGTGTCCAATGCACAATGCACGCGGGATCGATCTATTCTCCGACCAAACACTAAAACAATGCGCAATTAGTATTATTGTGCAGTATAATTGAACATTTGAATAGAAAGCGCCGTTTAATATTGTTGTTCAATAAATGTATTCAACAATGTTATTGTAGATCTAAGACAATTCCATTTAACGTCAAATTGACGATATCGTTAATTCGATATCTTAAAAAAATTTTACAATTGCAATCGCTATCACATGTCATTTATGAATATTGTTCAAATGTCATATGCAATAATTTGTAAAATTAGACAAATAGGCCTCTATTCATATGTCTTGGTTTAAACTCTTTTTACTGGCGATGACGTACTTAAGTGTAATTGATTTAATGTTTAAAAACCAAAACCGAAAAAGTCATAAATGGTTTTTGACCGTGAATTTTCGAATAAATGTTTCAGTATTACATATTGATTTCATTATCGATTTCTGAAATGATTAATAAATGGAAATTCAATTAATCGATTTCAAAACGACATCCCTACTCTGTCTGTACGACATGACGTTTATAAAGAACAATGTACTAAAGATGTGGCTGTTTGGATATTTCCAAAGCCGTTAATACATAAACAAAAAAAAATACGACATGACGTCGTTTTGTTTTGATTTGAAATTTTGAATTAATGTCCTTGTCTTCTGTAACGGTTAACTACTTGCTTTTTCTAAAATAGTGGAGAATTACTCATTATTAGCTGAATATGACTGCAACAACGATAAAAAACGAAGTGGAAGAACTCGAAGCGAAAATAATCAGCCACGAAGCCTACGGAAATCCGTTAGTATAAAGCATGCCCATCTTACTTATAAAAAATTCTAAGAAACTATACCTAATAAATATATCATTTTAGATATTATAAATGGTCACCACGCGATTTTGAGCTGGGTTCCGGATTGGGTCGAGGCAAATTTGGACATGTACACGTCGCCAGAGAAAAGAAAACTGGGTATCTCGTTGCTATCAAGGCTCTATTCAAGTCGCAGATATCCAAGTCTAAGTGTGAACGGCAAGTGTTAAGAGAGATTGAGATTCAGTCTCATTTAAAGTAAGTCTCGTAAACTATCCTATTTTTATTATTAAAATGAAATCATGACTGTATTATTGTTTTAATTCAATCACGTTAGAGGTTGCTAATGATGAGATATTTAAAATTCAATGAACACTGATCTTATGTTTGATCTATGTTCATTGAATTTTAAAAAAGCTTTCTGATGTTTTGTGTTCATCCAGAATTGATGAACGATTGACCCTGATTGTTGAGAGTACCTAATTAATTAAAATACTATAAAGTTTATATTAGTAAATATATTAGCATTGAAGTTTTTGGCTGCAGCTAAAAGCTGCACTTAATAACTTTTAGTTCTGCAGAGCACTTCTGTAAAAATACAAACCAAATTTGAATTCACTCTTCTGCCAAATTTAGTGTAGAAATTCTATTAATTCCATTTTTTTGTATAAAAATACAAAATGAGATTGATTCACATGTGATACACTATGACAATTGAGGTTTCACACTTGAATCTTACTTAGCGTAAACCAAGTGAATATCACATCTTGCCCTTACCAGTCATGGTAAGGAATCTCCTGAATCATTATATTCTGTATTCATTTATACATGCCTAGTCTTGTTTTTGGTTTCACCATTTATTTCAGATATTTACTGCACAATATTTACCTATGAGCAGCCAATTAGAATGTCATGTTTTAAACTTGAATAGACACAGCCATTCAAGTGTGAAATTTTTGACAGTTTACACCACACAGAAGTCATTTGTTATTCACAGAGCTTCATTCAGTGTGCTTAAAGAATATAAGTATTGCAAATGTATAAAACTTAATTTGGTATTGACATGGTTTGGAATCAATAAATGGTCATAGCGCATAAGTGCCCAGAGTTGGAAGCATCTCAGAAGTTCTGTGAATCTGTATATGGACTATGTTGATTTAAGGAGGCGCATACCTTTTTTCTTAATAAATAATGATGAATATTTTTTACAATTTTTAGACACCCAAATATTCTACGACTGCTCACATGGTTCCATGATGAAAGACGCATATATTTAGTAGTGGAGTTTGCAGCTGGTGGTGAACTGTACAAACACTTGACAAATTCACCTAAAGGCCGTTTCCCTGAACCTAGAGCTGCCAAATATATATATCAGGTAATATAAAAAGACATTTCTTTCATCACCATGTTGAAAATTTTGCCCTAGAACAAACATAATTGAAAATTCTAATAACTTTAAGTGGCCATTGCCTCTAATAATAGAAAATAAGTACTATAGCAGCCGTTAATGTCACTAGGCTTAAAAGTAGATTATACTTTATACTTCAAAAATAACTGCTGATGTTCTAAATGCTTATCAAAATTAACTATAATAATGAAATTACAACCTAAGTGGTTTATAGTTCAAAAGGAGGTACTTGAGGATTTTATAAAAACAGTTCAAATCTTTGTCAACTTTAGGTTGCAGATGCAGTGGAATATTGTCATCAGCACCATGTTATACACCGAGATATAAAGCCAGAAAATATATTGGTTGCATTTAATGGTGATCTCAAATTGGCCGATTTTGGTTGGTCAGTGCATGCACCATCGGAAAGGTTAGTTATGCATTCAACTTATTGCTACTGTCAATATTATACAAGACATTATATTTATTTTTATTATATTAGACAGCAATGTTGTACATTACTCAGACCCAAACTAGATCACCTTATATTGAGTGCATTTGATAAAATGACAGTGCCATGACACACTAGGATCTTAAGCGAGGAATTCACTATATGGATACATCTGCCAGACCACATTACAATATGTCTTGTTGTATATTGGCTAGTGTAGGATTGTTGCAGTTATTACACAGAACTATGGTAGCAAGGTCTGGCATGTAATAGATATTTTTATCTAGATGTATATCAAATGTAATATTTCTCATACCCATTTTCTCTGATTTAAAAAAATGTCTTGATAGGAAGTAGAAAAATATATAGAAAAAGAGTCATTAATTTTAATCAAGAAAATTTTAACTTAAAATCACAATAAAATTATAATTTTATCCTCAGGCGCAAAACAATGTGTGGCACTCTTGATTATCTACCTCCAGAGATGGTGAAGAGGGAAGTGTATGACGTCACCGTAGACCACTGGTGTATCGGAGTGTTGTTATATGAATTTTTAGTTGGTAAACCCCCTTTTGAAAGTGAGGGCCAGGACAAGACTTACCAAAGAATCATCATGTTAGACATGACCTACCCTAGTCATGTACCAGAAGGAGCCAAAGATCTTATCTCGAAGGTAGTTTATTGTTAATTTTATTTATTTATTCAATATCGACATCTTACTAAGGCAAATAAAATTAAGAAACATTTTTTCTTAATACCGATGTTTTTAAATTCAGTGAAATTTGACGATTATTTGATAAATTAACATTGCAACTCTTAATTACAATTACAGACATATAATTTTTTGCAATAAATATTATAAGTATTAATTTCTTTGTTGCAGCTTCTCCGACCATCAAGCAAAGAGAGATTATCATTGGACAGTGTCAAGAAACACTACTGGGTGCAACAATTTTATAACACCGCATCATAACATTTAATCTTATTTAAGTTAGTATTAGAATTTTGTTTTATTTCCCTAATTATTATTATTAAATCAATACACATATCTAAATTTCATATTTTTATTGATTATATAATATATTTTCAATCACAGATCGTAACCAAACTTTTTAATCCACTTAAGTCCATCTTTGCTATTGTTAGCTGGTTTGTACTCTAGTCCGATCCAATCGTTGTATCCATGGTTATCCAATTGCTTTAGTACATATTCATAATTTATCTCGCCGGGAGTATCGGGCTCATTTCTATTAGGTACTTGAGCTATCTGTAATATAAAACAAAGAGCAATGTATCATTATTAAAGTCATAGATGCTAATTGTTTCTGGAAACAATTTCACTTTTGGGACAATAATTTTTGGATTACAAAATTTATCTTAAACCGTATTTATAAATAACAACGTATAAATCATAGGTACCTGAAGTAGTCATTGAAGTGGGGAAAAATGGATGACATAGTCTGTACCTAGTCCTACAGTAAATTCAAACTAATATGTCAACTAGTGAATTTTCGTATGCAATTGTGACGGTAAACGGACATTTGATTTAAAATCTATCGTGAATTAAGGTGTAGGAGTCAGGCGCTTACCTACATATTGGTGGACCGATCACGTGATACTTAAATAATTCTATATTGAAAAGAATCATATCCACTTCCCATACATTGATTGATTATTTTAAGATTTAACTTCCTGATATGAAATAAATAAAGGTAAGCTAGCTTTTTAGGTCAAAATTGGACACGATTATTTAGCCTTCCGTAGGTACAGTCGACAGCACTAAGTTACACAACACTATCACATTTCCCCACTTGATTTTAAACCTTAACATATTAAAATTAGATATCAAAATCAAATGCAGAAATTTGACATATTGTGGTAACTCGAGGTGCAGCCATGAACCACATATATTGTCTTACTGTAATGTTTCCGTAACCATTATCATATAACACAACTATAATGTATTAATATTAAAATACAACTCAAAGATACATACTTGTATATGACCAACATATGGCATGAAACTTTTAATATTATGAGATATATCACCACAGATCTGTTGCAAGTGGAAAATATCCAACATCAATTTCAGGTTCGGACTATTTATTCTTTGTATTATTTCAATAGCTGTGAACAAACAGTTTATATTGAAATACTCGATAATTTAACTGCATCATGTAAAATACACGCTTATATATAATTAACTGATAAAAAATTGATAAATCACCTTTTCTATAGTCACTTAAGAAATATTTTGGCACTGAATGCTGATTAATCGGTTCAATAACCCCTAAAATATTGTCTTCCTTCAGTTTATTCGCTGCATATTTTAAATTGTCTTCATATGTTACCCAATTGTTAACTGTAACATTGTCAAGTTTCCCAGCCATTATGTGAATTTTCTTAGCGTTAACAGCCTTTGCATAGTCAATAGTGGTGTTGAGATTGGCCCGGAATTCATCTTCTTTGCCCGGTACTGCAGTTACACCAACCTCACCTTTAGTTACATCTCCTAAAAAATACAATTATTATATTAATAAATTATGAAAGAACCTTTGATCAAGTGAAAAAATTAGAATTTTTAGGATAATGTTATTTATTTTCAGAAAACTTAACGAAAAATACATTTAAGTTTGTTTGATTTGTTTGACATGAATTACCTTTTTTAGGCAAAAATATGAAAGTGTTACTGTCAAATTGTTTTACTAACCTCAAACACTTATTTGACTTTCAAATTTTCTTGAATTTTCATTTATCCATTACAATTACATTATTTATTCAATATGGTTTATTTAGTTCATACACTTCAGTATCTAATAAAAAATATTATTTTAAAGGAATACAGGAACTTTACAAAACCGCTGTCTTTGTTAAATGGCAGATGTTTCTAGATTTTATTATGAAAATAATAAATCTAAAAATTTAAATAGGTATGTACAAATATAAAACAAACAGTATGTAATTATAGGTACAAACAACATAATTTAAAAGTCAAATATTTACCTGTCAAAAGATTAATCAAAACTTGATCTACACCAGAGTTTTCCTTAGCTTGTTTCACTTGTTCCAAAGAGTGTCCAAACGGGAAACCTGTCTCGACTGCTTTAAATCCGGCATCTTTAGCTAAAGAATATCGCTCCAATATCGAGGGTGCTTCACTGAACATAAACGATAGATTCGCGCAGAACTTCATTTTTAACATGCGTTCGCTTAGTGGCGTTTTGTTTTTGCTCCTTTTCAAAGTTGACTGATGTTTACGCTATTGAGTGTCGGTAGATGTTACTATATTTATCTGCGGTCTTGTTATCAATTTGTTATCTGGTTGTGTGGAGCAGAATACAAAAAAAAAGTCGCAGATTGCTTAACCACTAAATTAGTTTTTTTTCAATCATTATCAAGTAAAGAAACATATAAATAACAGTTTAAGATAACGTCTAAAAACCACGGAGGTTTGAGTTGTGTTGAAATTAAATCTATATTCTGTTCCTAGGTTAGTAAGGTTAGGCAATAAAATGGACAATATCTTGTTTAGTTGATTTAATACTCTGAAGCAGGGTTTCTTAAAGTAGGGTACTCGTACTCATGGGAGTTTGCCATTCGGGGTAAGAGGATTCGTAACAAGATTTACGTTATGATGGCTTGATGACAATAAATTTTGCGACAAAAAACTGACCCACCCGTCACATTGATATCTTCAAAAACCAATTTTATTGTTTTATTTGAAGGGGTGTATTCGATTAGTTTAGTAGTTAGCTTGGTGGTCTACTTTCAAACTACCTAAAACATTTTTTGTAAATCAATAAAAATCTAAACATATTATTGGACAAAGTTTGTAGCAAACATTAATATTTATGCCTAAGTTTAAAATGTAATTAGTGAGGTTTCTAAGTGAGGTTGTAGGTAAATAATGTAAAAGTGGAAATTTAAAAAAGAAATGCATATAGATCCTTCTAAAAGTCCTCATTCTCTTTTTATATAAAAACGGTTTAGTGTGTTTCGGAAGTAAACCCCTCATGTATTGCTATTGATAGACCTCTTGTATCGTGTACTCGGAATACTGCATATTGTATCGGATCGGATTAGTGACCCTATAGCTTTCAGTAGAACAAAACGCAGTACCTACTCCGCGGCAACTAAGTATAAGAGGTTCCATTCCATGTATCGTTTCAGATTTGTCAATATTTGCTTTTTAATAATATGAATGTAAGAAAACGGTGTTCACACTGATAAATTTGACCACAATTTCCTATTGGTATGCAAAATGATTATTTTCAAAGAGTTATCATATTAGAGTAGTAGTAGATAGCCATCCCAATAATTTCTCTACTTGCGCATGCCAATCCCGGATTTACTATTTTCCAACCGGGGCAGAAACTGTGTCAGCAAACGTATCTTCCCTTCAAGGAATAAATTTAAATGTCATAATGTTATATGCAGAGCAGGTAATGGCATAAACTTCATTTCGTAATAAGTCATTTGACATACACTCACAAAGCACCATTAGGCATACAATCGAATAGAACACTGACATTTTCAGATAGTATTCTGTCAGTTGAAATATATGATTGGTCAGCAGACCATGGCTAGCAAACAATATCAAATCAATCGACAATTTTTTACATTCTGGACGGCTGTAATTATTTTTTATTAGCATAATAATCATATAAGCTGCAATGAGTGACGCATGTTAAATACAATTTTGAACAGCACTTAGAGTGAAGCAACTAATCTAATTTTGTGAAGCATATAAAAATAGCAATAATGACTGGCGCAAAATGGGCGCATTCCTTACAAAAATAATGAATGGGTATTAAGAGTAAACTAACTAATTAAATTAACTGCCTCCGTGTCCTAGTGGTTAGAGCGTTAGGCTCTCGATCCGAAGGTACTGGGTTCGATTCCCGGTGGGGACACTCTCAAATATTTCTTTGTGAGTTTTTCCCAGTTTGGTTAGGACATTGCAGGCCTGAATCACCTGATTGTCCGAAAGTAAGATGATTCCGTGCTTCGGAGGGCACGTTAAGCCGTCGGTCCCGGCTGCTACCTACAGTACTCATATAACACTCGCAAAATATCAAAATTCACACTAATTAACATAAAACAAGTTGTTATCACTGTAATTTGACAGCTACTAATCGCCGCATAGACACCGAATGACAATACACGCACGCGATTGGCTACTAGTATCATGCGACTACTCTTGCTCTGCCCACTTTTAACGTACATTGCAGACTTTTCAATAAAAATGCAAACCAATTAGTTATTCTTCTAACCATGCTTTAAATACGCAAACCGATCAAATGAACTGCTAACCGGACAAATATTTCTTGCTGACCAATCCTGAATCTTTCTGATCAAGTAGTTATTTTGGGGATAGACTGTTTATTTGACATACACATATTATTTTAAGCTGACTGTATATGATTAAATTACTGATCATTATCAAGATTATTTGCGAAACAAGAATTGCCGATTGTTTTATTTTTCTTGCATACAAAATCTTTAAATGCTGATCAAACGATTAAAATACTGATTTTTGTGGCTAACCAAATTTTTTTATGGCTGACCTTTTAATTATCATAATTTCAGTTTTCTGAATACGCTACGTGTAAAAGAAAGAAGATTATTTGCTTTTATCTTTTTTGATATTATTATGTTTACCCAAAGATGAATTGAGAATTTGTCAAGTGTTTGTAATATGTAACTTTAAGCTATATTGAATAATATAGATGCCACTTGGTAATGCAACTTTAACTATCCAAACATCACCACATTCAAATGCACGCAAGAAACTAACTATAAAAAAAATAGGAAGGAGTTAATTACCTATCAAAATTATAATTTATAAAAATGTAACTTATATTGCGTTATGAAACAAGTTACACATCTCTTTAAACGTATGCTAAAAACTTAATTATACTTAAAACATAGGTAATAGTTTTTTCTTATGTAGATAAATGACTAATGCAGATAATTTCTACCTTAAGCCCGTTAAGTTTTCTCCCCAAGTAATTGAAATTGAATTTCAGATGCATTATCAGGGTTCCCATACTATGCGACACGACGCCGCATCGCACAAACCGGTGATGCGATTACGTGCAGAAAAACGTTAGTTCAAGTGACCATAGCTTCAACAGAAATCAGCCGCATTGGACGTGTTTAAGGAATAGTGACATGAATTGTATAATATTTTTTGTACTGCTATTATTGTTAAATAGATATTAAAAAATAAGAAGATTTTGGGTTCATCATGACGATGATAACGACATGGATGAACCCAATGGATGAATTTATTAACGCTGATGAGAAAATTTTACTTGAAAATACTTTCTAAAAAAAAGTATTTGTTATCAAATATGATGTAATATCGTAAGAACGCGTGAAGCAAATTCGATCGAAATTTCTTGCGGTACATTCGTGCGAACTCGCAGTTATTTGTAATACGACTAGAATTTTCAGTTATGTGTGGGAGACCTTACGTCTCATTTTATTTTTTGAGCGGTCAATATTACTAATTCATTATTGTATATCATTTTGAATCCATGTATTCCACAGATAATAAGGGTTATTGTCACTTACAATACTACAAATAAATCTCGATTTTATCTGCGGTAAAACAGGCTCATTTAGAGACATATGACTAGGCAAGTTTGCCTTATACGTTTGCTGAATGAAAACTCAAATACACATTAAAATATATTTATTATTTTTATATCAATATTATACTCTAATGAAATTCGTTAACCCAATGGCGTCGTCATTCATATAGGAAATTGGTTACGCATTCGTGTTTCATAAAAAATAATTAATTGTTTCATAACATTTTTTCGGAATTACTTGAACAATAATATTTATTGTATAGATTTTCCAACCGAAATAACATAATATTAAGGCATTTTAAAATAAATTTACAGTATGCAGAAAAATAATATATGCTTAGCTTATTGTAAAATTTAACCTCAAAATGGTGTCCTATCGGATATCACCCAAGCCAAGCGACTGCTTCAAAATAAAACACAGAAAACGCCCCTTAATGATTTTATTTAGTTGCAAGTTCTTTGATATTTACATTCACCTTCGTTCGTGAGCGCGTTAAGATTTTAGTATGAAAACCGGCACAGCGCCCCTAGCGGTAACTATCAAGAACTACAAATCCCCATACAAATTCTTTAAGCACTCACTGGTGAACGTGTTAACATAAAACTTACACTCGCCACTCAACTACGTAAATTTTGATGTTGATAATGCTTTCATGGCATATTCTGTTTGTATGAATCTTCAAATCTTAGCTACATACTTTATGTATTTTCATTAAAAGAGCTTTTGATTCATGTAGACTTGGAGAGAAAACATGCAAAACTGATATACCTATTAGCTTTTCCATTAAATTGGCAGGTTCAATGTTTTATTTCGAAACAGTCGTTTACACTCAATTATGTAAATATAAGTACATAACATAATCAAGATTAACAAAAATAAATGCTGGCAAATGCTTGTGCTTGCAGTACGCAGTCTTATTAACAAGAGGTATTTACGGTTCTTAATATTTTTGTTTTAAATATAAATACGTTTTTGATAATAACACAGCCATATTTTATTTTCATAATATTATAAAAGCTACATACTAATTAAGGGACATTATATAGTTAACATACAAAATACATTCTTATATTATTTGTGGACAGTACTTACAACTAGATAGAAGTGTACATTTTGAGCAGAATGTGCCAATACCCTGTTACTTAACTGTCATGGCAACTAAACTTAATCATACGGCTCGGAGGATCAGAAATCCAAAACATTACAATTCTCTTCATTACTTTATTATATTTATCTAAGGCGTGTTAACATTCTGCTTTATATCTTTGGTAAGTATGAGCGTTGTTGCAATAGTGATAACATATCGATAGTATATAGATCCAGGTTCTTTAAAACTCGTCCAATCAATGATAGTTCAACAATAACTATTGCACATTACAATGTTGATATAGCCTGTTCTTAGTGCGAAAAGCAGACAATGAGACAGAAAGTATGCGAAGCGAACGTCGAAATAAAATGTTAAGTATCGTAATCCATATAACTGTATCGTTTCCGCATACTACGTTTTGTTATACGGGACACTATAGGTCGCCGACCCTACCCCGTACACTAAACAGTGCTCCGCAAGAACGATGGGTGTCTATGGATAACGAAACGTATCGTCTTCTTTCAATGTTTAAATAATACTTTGAGTTATTTTCAGTTTTTCGCCAGCCCTAGTTTACCCATCGATAGTTTATTATTATATTATCGACGAAATTCAATTTATACTTTCAATATCCAGCAACAATTTTCAAAATACACTATCGATACAAAAATTATCGCTATCCCAACAACACTGGCAAGTATATGGAGTTGAACTCTATCAGGCAGTTGCAGTAAAAATACGGTCGCTTTAACACTAATCTGAAATTAAAACTCCATAGCAGCCTTATTTTTTTCTACAACTGGCTGTATATTTTATTAGGGCCAGTTCACGTAAGAAAAAAATATTTTATTGAACTTTATGCTGTAATAAGCATCTTATTCATGTTTTGCACACCACAATTCGTGTAATTGCGTATAACAATACCTGTGTTAAAATAGCTTTAGTTTCGCCACGTTTAAGAAAACAAAACATAAATATTTCTAGTCTACACAAAAACAGATGTAGCGATGAAGTTTATAATTAGCATAGTACAGAAATAGGCTTTATGTGATTTACTTTAGATTGATATTGGTTTAACAAAAGCATGTGTTTCTAGAAACTATTTTTGACTGCAATAGAAGGCCAATCAATGCACGTCGTGTTGCATCTAATTTTGAATCGCCGCTTTACGGTTTCCTGTTTTAGCCCACATAGAATTTCCTCTACATTTTTTAAGAGTCGGTACAAATCTAAAGTAAGAACCGTCAAGTGTCTAACGAAGGTATGTTATAAAGATGAAATGTCACATAATATATTTATCGGTTCAGATGTTCCGCGACCAACGAAACGGGAGACATATTCCGTTAAATATGCACCCACCCTAATGGTCCGTTTACACGAGACCAACTAGCTGAGACAATCCAGTAAGCTAATAAATATTAGCTTAGTGTAAATGAAGATAATGATCAAGCCAGTCCAATGAAATAGAACGATTTCTAATTTTACTGGACTAGCTTACTGAATTATCTCGGCTATTGACCTCGTATAAATAGTTTATAAGACATTTTTATTTTTACTTTGACTTTGATTCATAAACTTCATATGGTGACTACACTTTTCTTCAAGAAAAAGATGGAACCCTTCTTTTGATAGTTTCCATTATTTAATGTGAACACCCCCCTTTCTAAATGGTTTCTTGGATAATTACATAAACAGTAAGCACTGGTTTAATTCGTTACCACTCGACTAGTCGCAACGATACTGGAGATTTTGGTGACAACAAGAAGTCGAATTGGATGTCGAGTTCCCCGTCGTATTCCACTCGCCATCTTTGCATTATCTGTAAGCAATCATCATCAATTTTACATTGATGAAGTTATCGAATTGCAGAAAGTATTAGACTTCTTAAATATGCTTTAGTTTACTAATGATTTAACTAGAAAATATTTTTTTAGCGGTGGTCACACGGTGGGCGCCAATGAAACAAAACCAGAAAAACAACATTACATGTATTACATACGAGTCTGCCCAAATAAGGAGGGTCTAAAAGACTTCGCAAAAGGTGTTAAATATAAATAAAAAAATAAGACCTGAGCCCCAGCAGTGGGGACATTAATAGCCAGGGGACGACGTGATATGATGATATTATAGTAATCGAGCGAGTGTACCTTAGCGAGTAACAAATGCAGTTCGCACTCCACGAATCTCTTGCCGGGGCACATTCTGCGGCCCCGACCGAAGGGCGCCACTAGTGAGGCGGCGTGCGGCTCCCTCACGCTCACCCACCGCTCCGGCAGGTACTCCGTCGCCCGCCAGAAGTTATCCTCGCGACGGCACGCTGCCCCCGTGTGACACAACACGAACGTCTACACGACAACGCACGACAATGAGTGTTACAGACTCTTTTGATGCAGGCCACTTTTTATAGCTGGCCGACATACTGAGTGATAGACGGATGACTTACTTTTTAGATACTTATTGTTTTAAAAAATAAATCTATCAAGTCGGTTTTTCCTATAATTTCCTTTTTTTTCAATGAGCATACATTAAAATAGTTGTTTATGCAACTGTCATATAAGAAGGGGTATTAAAATTAGTCTGTTTATCACATGAGGAAGCCGAATGCGATAATAGGTTGAATCGAGTGTTTTAATACCTAAGTTATATGCAGTTTCATACACTACTTTATCTTCACTCATAGGAAAATTTGGAATTAAACAAAGTAGGTGCGTTACAAAGAAGTAATTTATGCGTGCGCCATTTTTTCACAGTTTGAACTTCGCATGCGTACACTTTTTTTTCATATTCAGCCTAAAACCAGAGACTAGTTTAATTAATAAAAAAAGATAGCGGTACTATAATGAGTTTTATGATACAATTGGCGGTACTATAATGAGTTTTATTTTTAATTTTGTGTATATGCGTTTATAAAGTGCGTGTGTATAGAATCGTCTTTGAATTTGTAATTAAAATTTTTCGATTTGAGTGTAGATAAAAAATATTACCTACATCATCTGTGTAAAACTCAACTAACTGTCATGGTTAATGAGATAAGCCTTGATGACAGTAACAGACAGCGAAGTCTTTGTAATAGGGTTCCCGTTTTATACTTTAGATACGGAACTCTAAACAAGACTAAAATTCATGTCGCTAATTGTGGTACGATCAAATCAATCACGTGATGTTGAAAAGTGTGTTTTCCTGCTTCTGTAAGCAGAAAAACACACTTTTCACGATCAAATCAATCACGTGATGTTAGAAGATGATGTCTGAAGCCATAAAAATCGGCGAGCATGAATGAACAGTAATGAAAGTGGAGAAGGCGAAACATGTATACCGTACTCCCAGTGTAGACTCATCCGTCTACCTGCGCATGGTACCATGGATGATTACATTACTTATATTTTACTTTACATATATTAATGGCGTTTCGATAATCTTTTGCTAACAGTTCTTGTTATTGACATATGTCAACATTGATTTATCATGTACTATGTCATAAAACGTAGTTTTTAAATTCTTTGCTATGTCGCCATTGTACTTATAACATTGAGCCCCATGCAGATAACACAATAGCAAAATGCAATAAAACATCACAATAGGGATGACGATGGGTAAAAAAGATGCAATTCTATTTAGTCCGTCAGTCAGATAATAGAAAAATATTAGATTTTTTTTTTTTACTTCAATTTAACAAGAAATAGCTTAGACAACAGGCATTAAAGTTGAGGAGCGGGCGCTCGCTACGTCACAGTTGAGTAGAAAACGTACCATAACGTGACGTCATGCGAAATTTCAACTACATGTAACGCCGTAATTTTATGATTACGAAAAAAATAAAAAATTACGTGTCTAACATCTCTTAACACTCTACCTGGCGGATAAACAAACAAAATAAGTCGTCATCCCATATATTACACAAATTGTATAAATTCAACAGTTTTAGAGAAACTGACCTCCTTTTGGGAAACAACCATTGTCACTTTGCAATTCATTAATATCTATTAAAAGAAATTCTAATGTCATATTATAATATCTTTGGCATCACATTCATCGAAGGAAATCATCAGCATACTAACCCCAGCAGGCAACTTATGACCGGCCACATTCACTGGTGCTTCGAGTAATCTGGCCAGAAACGGTGCGGTGGGCAGCAGTCTGAATGCCTCCATGGTGGCAGCGCGTACCGATGGCGCGGCAGCAATTTCCTCAGCGCGCAGTTCACCACCACACGGCACTTCAGAGCGGATCCTCTGTTGCCAATCAGGCCGTCCACTCAGCAGGTACAGGAGGAACACGAGGCTGTTGGCCAGCTGTCATTTCATAAATTTAAATATTAGACAACATCGCTTTGCTCATATCCCAAATAGCTAAAACAATCAGAACTAAGACAAAATAGAAAAGTTATTTCAAATTGACGCTACCGGGAACAACGGAGGCTATTATTATAATTAATATTACCTAAGTATTTCTTACGACCTATTTAATTTATATTTGCTCTGTCTAGGTATATGTTTGGCGGCGACGTATTTTTACTGAAATTTCCGCGAATGTTGACGGATTTTCAAAATTCTTTTTATAAGGTGAATATCGCTATATAAGGTGCGGTGAATATCGCTACTCCAATACTGTTCAATGCAATCAGTCCAATACAATCCTTAATGGGTAGTAGGTAAAAAATGTTACGAAATATACGTGTATTACATTTTGACTCAATCCTTACCAGTACAGAAACATGAATATTAAAATTTATGTAACTACTTAAGCCAAACCGCAACCGAGTTAGGATTTCGGGTCAGGTTCGGAATAATCGGTAATAATCGATCAACCAATAAATTCATCAGTTAATGTTAAGAACAGGTACTAAAAGATTGGTTTTTATAAAAAAAAATAATCGAAGCTATAATATAAAATGAGTTATAATTGCTATCAATTATGGCTAAGAGGAATAAAAGTGAAACTGACTAAAACATAGAGAGAATTCAAAAGAAAAATACCCTAAAGATATCGTAAATCAGGGTAAACTCCAAACTAACTTCTCTGTACAGGTAAACAACTACATATTTACGTTATACACAATGATAAATCTTGGTAATGCGGGTTTCTCATTAATAACGATACAAATAGGTATATCATAAGTATCTACTGTTGACAATAGTACATATTACAACCGTGTCAAGGATCAAAATAACATATTTGATAATATTAAGATAATAAATAGTTCTGTGGTCATGACTTCATATACTATTAAAATATTAGAAAATACTATTAAAGCGATAGTCTGTACTATTCACAAATACGTTAAAAAATTCTATATTATGGAACTCTCTAAATGGCTTTTGTAATCATCAATATGTTAACAAATGCCATCAAAACTAACTTAAGTTTCACGCATTATAGGAAGCGTAGAAAGGACATCTTTCAAAACGTACTAAAATCAGAATGTGGCGAAAAAAAATTGCAATTTATTTCGATAGCTAAACTGTACGACCATTAGTAGAGTTGTATTTGGCGTTTAAAAATCTAGGCTATAGCTATAGTCATAAAATTAGTAGTAGACTAGAAAAAGAAAGGCTAAAGAATGTAAAATAATTCTTTGGACAGGAATATTATAAACCTAAAAACTGCTTAAAAAGACAGATTAATGCATAAAAAGACAGACGGAAAGAGACAGAGAAAGAGAAAAAGACAGACAAAAACATGCGACATCAACAATTGCGACCGCTCATTCCCTAGCATAATGCATTTCATTTTACTATTTTCACATGTCTTTTGGTGGATTAATTTGGGATAATTAACTTCGAGACACTGCAATAAAATACATATTTATAATTTTTTATCATTTTTTCGTTGCCATTAAAGTACACGTCAAAGTCGTAAAATGACTATAATGTATGGAATATCGAATGTATGGAATATCGACATAATATCTCTAACATGTCGTATCTTATGACTAGAGTTATTGTAAGAAGATTTAGGCGGTCGCTCAGCAGATCAGTCGAAGTGACAGATAGGGATAGAGGATGGCGAAATAGAGCGTCTAAATTATTTTAAGAGCAAAATTTATTAAGTCACGACTGTTGACCGAATCACTTATTCCCATTAAACATCGTAGTTTCACATTTTTACAGCTTATTTGGGCTTCCCTTCTTTATCGATAATGAATGAGGAAATATTTAAGAAAACAAGCAGTTCTCTCGAATTCATAATAAATTTCGTTAGGCACTCTGTAACATTTTCGTCACAAACATTAAATATTACCTTACTTTTCTACTTTCACATGTACACTATGTTATTAACATGGAGTAGACTCCATGGTTAATAACGAATGAATAATAAGAAATATGATGTAACAGCAGCGTTAAAAACTTAGTCGTTCGTTTATCCACCAAAAGACGTGTCAAAATAGTAAGTGAAACGAAATATCGCTATAACTTCGATAAAATGTCGAACCCTATCGTTAAAGAGTATAGACGCTCACATCTCTGGTAATTTTTTTTTAATGCCTACTCTCTTAATGCTTATTAGTAATTTTTGGTTAGGACGACCTCTCAACTGCATGTGATAATCGTTTTCTCGTACTTACTGTCTCAATTCCAGCGTTAATAAAATCTATGATGGCAGCTTTCTTGTCACGCATGTCCAACGCTGGATTTTCCAAGATCCGCATAAAGATTTCCTGCATGCCGTCGTCTTGCGCGCTGCCCTCAGCCCGGGAGCGTGCTTCCTCCATCAGATCCGATACTATCCTGTCAGAAAATAATATCAAAACTGCTTAAACTCTTAAAATAATTTTACTATCCCTTCATCGTAGTCTACAGAATTCTGTCAATATCGACAACACACACCATCATAATTTAATAATAATTTGTTATTTTGAAACACTAGACAGTTGCTATCATTTCTCCAGTTCATTAAAGCAGTTTATTTACCAAAAAAGACGAAAAATCGCCTTTTAGCTAAGATTCTAAGGCTAGAGTTATGGCCAACTCTAACCATAAAACGGTTTTATTGATTTTATCAATGAATACTTTTATATTCCTCTATTATTAGGTAGGTATAAGTTCATTATTATTTTTAGGTTTCTTTAATTAAATATTTCAGATTATTTCAGTTTTCTTTTAATTTCGACTACAAAGTATTCTTAGTGAAAAATGCTTTAAAATCCACTTTGTCCCTAACACACTGAGATGGGACTCGAACCCATGACATTTTTATTAAGAATATTTGTCAGTGTAGCACTATTTGGGTGGATTATCTGAACATTAAAAAAAGGAATATGGGACGTTATCCCCACTGGTGGGGCTCAGGCCTTTCCGATGGATGGAATGGAATCGAATAGGGAAATTGTTAAAGTAGCTCCTAAACACAAGGATTTACTCACACATGGATAGTCTCCTCGCTCCACGCAAACGTCCTGTACAAAGTGGTGGGGGCAAATTTCCATAGTGGTGCACCATAGTAAGAGTCCCTCTGCGCTCTGAAGTGTGCCTTCGCAGCCGCTGCGAGTGTGGCCGCTCTACCTGACATGCACCGCTCCAGGAAACCAAACCTTGTACCCAACATCAGGCCGCACACAGCTATGAAAGAACACACCATTATTATAATGTCACCACAACCATTGCATTTATTTATTTAGGGACACAAACAGACTATTGTTTAATCCCTAATTTTCGGGATCTCGATTTCAATGATATGGTCCCGCTTCCTGATTTCTTTTTCATTTTGACCCGATTTTTTAATAAAACTCGACAGCTAAATATTAATTTTGGCACGGCGTACGCCGGTGTCCAAAGTGTCGTCATCTCTGATTCGATTCACGGTCGGATCAACATAGAAAATGAAATTTTGTGTATTATCACGGATCTGGGTGTTGTGATACCATCAATTGAGCAATGTATGTGATATTGTATAATATTTATATTTTTTTTTAGATATAATATTTTTAGATATATCTATTCTCTTTTCCGTAGTAGTAGATAACCACTCCGCCATCAAGCTTCTCTTTGCAGAGTTTTAACTCATATTATACTCTAAGATTTATTCTCTCTTCAATGTTCAACGGTATTTTTATATACATAAAGATTTTTTTTAACTAGATCAGCAGTTTTGTTTATAACAAAACTATGCACCCACATATGACGAGGCTTCCCATAGGTGAAAGAATCTCTGAAATCAGTTCAGTAGTTTCGAAGCTTATTATCTTTCCTCTTTTTAATATTAGAATAGCTAACAAGAAAGATAATCTTCGAGGAAAACAAAAGATCGAGTGTTTTTCTTCCTTATGATAATTTAATAGCTCTCAGATGTGATGGCTGAAAATCGTTATGCCCTACTCACTAGCTTTCTGCTTTTCCAACGGCTTATGCTTTTCTAACGGCCCAGGTTTATGCGATCTCTCTTAATAATTAAATAAAGAAAAGGGAGATGGCTCATTCCCACGCCGATATTAACGACTGCAGAATGCAGCTGGGATCAACGGCTTAACGTGCCTTACGAAGCACTTAAAACTGATAGACCATCTAATAGTTACTGTATTAATCGCATTTTTTTTTACAGCACTATCAACAATGTTTCATGAAAATCACGTGATCCCCCGTATCCAATTTATAATGGATTCAATACGCAATCAACATGGTTAAATACTCGAACAGTAATAGGTAACAGTGATTTATATCATAAAAACGAGCTAACCGTGATAGGTTATTAATGAGTTTACGTCACGGTATAATAGGGCTAAATATATCACGATATAGCTTGCAATTTCAAGTATATGCTATTTATAGCATGTGTCTTAAGATAAATAATATATGTAACTTCGTCCTTTACTTCGACCTTACCACAGATAATTATAACAGTATACTCTGGCTGAAAACAAACTATTTATCAATAATATGACAACGACAACATACAAGCTTAAGTTCTTAAAACTTATAACATCTAAAATAGAAATAGGACTTTTAAACATTCATATAACATAGATAATACGTCATAAGACAAGTTTATTATTACTACCCAGTCCATTAGTTTTACTAACGTCAAGACATAACTTCCGGCAATACCGATAAGAAAGCGTCATGGCTACAATTTCACAATGCATCAATAGTGCAACGTTCACACTTGTCGGCTCAGTGCTATTTCTACACTGACCTACATTCGTTATCAAAGCGCGTCATAGGGTCGTCGTAGACAGAGCACATGCTAACATCAAATCGAGCCTTATCAGTGTTTGTCTACTGCAATATAAATCATGATAACTTAAACGATAATAACTTTGTGACTAACCAGTGTTAAGAGGTATGTAACAAGAATATTTTACCGACTTTCTACTGTCAGATATTTTGTTAAGTCCTTTTCTTCTTACCTTAATTACTTTACGAGATAAAATGCATTCACATTCACAGCGTGCTTGACTTTTTATCAATTTTAAATTATTGTAACAGTGTTTTCAGAAACAAACGAATACTGTGTATCGTCAATATCTCCGTTCAGTGACAGTATAATGCCATTCATTCACCCATCATATTCCAACAAGCTTTTTTATATGAGCTATTTCTTTTTATTTAATTCTATATAATTTATAACAGATCCAATGTCACATGCGTCCAACAGTATTGTTAACTTATTATCTCTCAACAAAATTTACAAATATTTTTTTTGACAAACTATTCCTCTGTTGTAATTAATTAAATTATGGAGTAGGTAAGACATTCCTCACCTCAAAATAAATTGTAAGCTTACTTACAGTCAAAATTACGAGTGTCGTACGCATGCTATTTTAGATAGTTTCGTGTAATCGACACGATTTTTCCGGCATTTTCAACATTTATCATTATAGTGTAGCCAATTTGTACATTACATATCGCACACCTAGATCTAAACTGAGACAACTCAAAAATTTTTGTAAGTTTTGACTTAGTATGATGTTATTCATGTGTCCACCGAGGTCCTTCAACGTTGCGTCGTTGTTTCTACCAGCTGCATTTTGACTGACGAAGACGTCTTCTTTTTCAACAGTGGATCTACACATTTTTAGGATTTTCTAATTTCGTCTTGTTGTTTTCTTGCCTTCGGATCTTGATGGCGCATGGCAGGGTCGCCATGAGGTGGGTGGTCGGGATCGTTCAGTAAACAAATAAATGAGACAACCTTTTCGGACGATACTTATTTAATTACTAATTTTATAGAATTATTACATAGGAAAAATGCTTAGAGTGTAATATGATGCTTACCACTACTACTGGAACTTAGTGTCCCTTACTATCTAATATTACTCACTTCAAGTACAATATTCAAATACTCTGTGATCATACGCATCTATCCAACATAACACATTCAATAAAGGTTCGGGGATTAGCCGCTAGATAACCTTAGCTTTCTTTTGTTGAATCAACAGTGGTCGTGCTCCTGCCAAGTAAACAAATGTATTGTCAGACCTCCACATTAGTTTTTTGAGTTGTCTTAGTTTAGATCTAGGTGTGCGATATACTAAATACTAAAATCGCCTCCATGAATCAGGTTACTCCATCCATTGAAGCTGCATCAAAATATATACAAGAGTTGAATTTTAAATGTTTTTTTTTGAACTCAAAATCGGAACGAAGTGTTTCTATGGTATTTTTTATGTTCACTAAAGCTTGATATAGATTAGGAGTTATATTTTTATAACAAAATAACTGAAACGCTCTGTCAAATACCCACATAGACGACATATTTATATCGTATAACTAAACAAAATTTCTTTCTAATTATCTTTGTTAAAATAAAATCAATATTTTTACAATAACACTAAAAATAAAATAATCTAAAAAACCGATTTCAAAAATAAAAAAAATATGTTCTATGATCATGAAATTTCTATTGATTTTGGGCGGTAACTGTGTAGCGCCCAACTTAAAAAAAATATCATGAACGCATTCGCTGGGCGCGAAGTGCTAGGTGGGTGTATCGCAGCGCTCATGGTGGCCAAAAGTAAAAACATTATGAGCTTTGTCATCTATCATATTATATTATATACTTGTATTTCTTTTCCACTGAATTAATGTTCTTAATCACGTTTATTAATCACGATTTATAACACAAAAAGAATAAACTAAAATAAATGATTATTTTTTTATTATTTTAAGTTAATTCTATAACAAAATTTGTATATGAATCGTTAAAACAATAAATAAACTGTGCTAAAATTTATTTGTAAATTTTCTTAAAGATTTTTTTTTTATTAATTCTACTTCACATTACATATACTTTAAAGTAAAATAACATTCTCATTGAATACTTTTGTTATTATTATCATTATTTGTACGAGTATTTTCTAAATACAATGACTAAAAAATGTTTATGTTCGCTTTTATGGTTTACTTTAGTCGTGCTGTTTTCAGCTGCAATCGAATTGATATTAAAATAAAAAATTAGTCCTAATTATGAGTTCCAACGTTGATTAATTACCTTCTTTAAAAAAAGTCATTGCAAGGCATTAAAGTTTTTATTTTATATTGTTAGTACACACAAACCATCATAATAATACTCATTTGGATCTAAAAACCATATTTCATCTATTTAAAACTAACGATACAGAAATAATTGTATATGTTTACTATTATTTAATGAAATCGTCAAGGCCGCTTTAATTTTTGTTTTACAGTAAAATTTCCATAAAAAATGACCTAAATAAATTCAGAAATTACCAAAACAAAAATACATTTTTTAAATAAAATTCAGTTACGTACCTCATTTCATTTCAAAGATTAAAAATGACTTTCCAACCCTCTGTACACCCAAATCACAGTATCGCTGTAGTTTTGTAATATAAAATAATAGAGTTGTTGTTTTGATATTTTGTTTGATATTTTTAATAATAGATAGTTGTTGTTTTTGATAGTTATTAAATGACACTTTTAATTTCAAAGCGTTAAAACTGCATAGGTTGAGGACGCTAGGTGTCGCTGAAGTCGTGCACATAGCCAATAAACCGCTTGTAAAATGTATATATTTTTATATTCGGATCTCATGCAATCGTTATGAACTGAGTAATGTGTGCGAAAACATATGTATAAAACAGTAAAAAAAAATAGAATCAATTCGCTCACATTCGAGTCCCATTCTGTTGGTGAGCTGATCGAAACCGTACACCGTTCCGTCTGAAGCGCGACAGGCTTGGAGTAGAGTCAGAAAGTCGTCGCTGATGCTGTTCAGTTGGGGCAAGAAGTTACGCATCGTGTGAGGACTGGTCAGCTCAGCCGTAAGGTGGCGACGGAGGTGGTACCACTTCTCACCTTGCCTGTGAGAAGAAATACATAGAAATATTTGTTTATTTAGTTTAACTTTTCTAAAAATGCTTAAAAATATACACATAGTCAACCCATGGTTCCACCTATAGGTTCGAACGGGGTACTGGGACTAGTTATTTTATAAGTGTTTTCTATAAAAGATATTTATCAATATTGTATATGCAAAATAAATCAAATATAATAATTGATAGGTTTTCAAATACCTAATATATACTAATATAGTTTCTTTTACAATCTTCCTTTTACAACTTTTATTCTCCTTTTTATATAATGTAGTTCATTTTCTTTTGGAAAGTTTATGTGTATCTGTGTCTTTGGCAATGGTTTTCTACTCGTATGCAATAGATTTATATCCTTCTCGCTATAAGTCTAGCCATAGCTGTAAAACGTATTCGTTTTTATAAATGAACGTATTTCTGTTCTTTATTTATGCTAATTTTACTTCAGTAGAAATTTCTTAATAGCTGTGTTTGTTTAATTCGTTTTTTTTTATCTCAAGTTATTATAATTCAGAAAACAACAAAACCCAGAACCATTGTATAAATATGTAAATAATAAAAAAGAACATTATAGAAGAATATAAACGTATTCATTTATAAAATCAATAAATGGCAAGAGTAAGAGTGAGATAGCTAGGCGGTCGCTCTGCTGCAGGTGATTCTGTAGAAATCCGATTCCGTACTCTTATTCACTCATGTGTCCAAATTCACGTTATTTAGTGAGGAAATTCTATTGATTCCATTTTTTATATAAAGATACAAAACAAAATTGATTGTATATATGCGTCTCAAATATTCTAATACTATGTCATTTCGAAACTCACTTCACTTGTGCCACGAAACGTTATTTACACAGTCAAGATTGAGCGGATGGTGCTTTTTAAAGTGAATACGTACACCTGAGTGAATTCGAATTCGACTTTGAATTTATACTAATATAATTGATTTACCTCAATTTAGTAGATTTCTCTACATTATTATATTTAATTTTCTTTATACGTACCCCATACGTACCCTGACCTCGGGTTTTTATATAAAGCGTTTTCAATAGCGCGTAGGTTTGCGTCTGGATTTTTTCAAGACAAATTATTGAGTAGGTATTTACCGACTTATTCATTAAGTATAAATAGAAATATCTACCGGCCATGGTAGGCATTCTATACCTAATCTAAGTTTAATTTTTATACTCATAAATTCTATTACATATACCTATCACTACATATATCATTATTTTGCAAATAAGTAAATTAACAGAAGTATATTTGTTCAATTATGGTATACCTACGGAATTATACATTTTATTTATTGATTATAACAGTGTGAAATAACGTTAAAACCAACGAAAACAAAAAGTGAGTTGTCTCTTGACTGAAAAATGAGAGTTTAGTTTTATGTAATCTATCTTTACTAATACGAAGAGGTAAATTTTCTAACTTTATTTGTAAGAAGTCATTCAGATCATCTCCAAAAATGTTCTGAATGACTGATCCGTACATAAAATTCTTTTACAAAGCCTATAATTTACGTGGGCGAAGTTGCAGGAACAGCTAGTTTTATACAATGTTATGATGTTCATACGCCAATGAATGAAGTAATCACTTGAATATTGCGTAGATATTTCGACCAGGATATAAATTTACCGGTCACGTATAAGTATTGTGCAAAATCAGACAGCATTGATTTTTTTCGCTTTATGCAAAATAGTTTCCTGTCAAATAGATATAACTAGTATTTCTTATAATAGTTTTAACCCTTGCATTCCGAGGCCACCGCTGGATGTAAATGTAACATACAACTTTTTCTTTTTGATACCTTCGTGTAGAAATAAGGTTATAGTTCCTAAAGCGAGGAATTCACTAGACGGCCAGCCCGTCGGACCTCGCTACTATAGTGCGGATATGTCTGGTCTGGGTAGTGTAGGACCGTCGTAGTCATTACACCTATAGTAGCAATGTTTGGCAAGCATGTCTGCAGCCTGTCTAGTGAATTTCCCGCTTAAAGTACACATGATACGTCATCAAAGAAAGTTGTGTTCACGTAGCAAGAAATAATCTAGAAACAGTTTCCAACGAACAACAATAAGTGGATTAAATTCTCGACAAATAAAATTAAATAAAAATATAGTGACACATATACCCAATAACAATAGGTAACGCAATTGGTAAAATCCTCGCCTAAATAATAAAAAATGATGCGCATGCGTTTCGTGGAAATTTGAGGGCATAGTTATAGTGGTACAATCTTAGGCTATTAAGCTATTTAAGGTCTTTTTTTATTTCCTAAACCATAGTCATAACCGGACTATAAACAATATCAGGCACGAAAATATAAAAAAAAACTACCTATTCATTTATTTTGTAGTAAAAAAATTATAACAAGGAACAGAACTCGCTCGCACGCGCCGCACACGGTTGTCATCGACCAGTATACTACGCCATATAAAATTACCGACTCTATCTATCACATTGCACCTAGCAATATAGGGAAATCGAAATAATGGCGAATTTTTAGTGTAGTTTTGTCATTTTTAATTACAGATAATTTGTTGGCGTTATTTTTTAAATTTAGAATAAAAAAATAAAACACCAAGAGAACATAGATAAACATAATAACCATAATAGTCGTCGATGACTTTTTTTTATTTATCTTTATGACCTGTAGGCAATCAATGCTTAGACCATAAAAATATGATAAGATAAAAGTATTTTATAATTTTTTTCACTCTTTACAAGAGATAGAAAAATACGAAGAAGGCATCATTGCTCGACTAGAGTTAGTTATTAGTTTTTCAACATTATCTATGAGACTATAATATCACGTTACTAGTTATTTTTAACGTTATGTTCACCATTATACGATCGAAATGTTAGAGAATTCTAAACTAGTAACTAGTAGTAAGTATCGTGGTGATTTTTATACAACCATTAAATAATATTAAAGGCACATACTTAAGCCTTTATGTGTTTTATAAATATTATAATTACGTTAGTGTAATATTTAACGACCGATAATAATATTCATGTATTCGAAACTAAAAGAGAACCTCTTTACAGAAAAGTATACTTAATTGTTTAAATAGGCATATATTATTTTGTACACATAAGGAGTTAACAAAGAACGTGATGTAGACTATAATTTACGTGGGCATATATGCGTATATACTAATATATATACATATATATGTATATATATATATGTGTGTGTATAAGTTTTGCGATAAGTTTTTAATTACAGATTGTACCTAACCTAGATGTACCTAAGTAGCAAGTAAATTAGCATGTAAAATCCATACTCCTTCATCATCATCACCAGCCTATATAAATGTCCCCATTGCTAGGACTCAAGCCTCTCCTCTGGATGGGATTGAATCAAATAGAATTGGGAGAATAAGCCATAACCCACCACGCGGACCCAGTGCAAATCGGTATGTGTTTACGACTGCAGATGCAACCAGAACCAACGGCTTAACGTGCCTTCCGAAGCACAGAGGACTTCGAGATACTAAATTATTGGTCACACATCTTATACCGACCCATTGAAAGCTTCCATCCGTATCGCAGACCGAACGCGCCAGACACTGTGTCATCAAACTCCTCGTTTAAAGTATAAATAATAATGCAGATAACAAATCTGCTAAATTGAGTCTTATATTGAATTAAACTATCAATCGAGTCCACAGTGGAACTAATTCAGCGACATACAACTGTAGGTAATTGATTTCACATTTAACGCTCTTATCTTAAACGTTCAATTAATAAAACAGAGGTAAAATTATAAGGTGCCTTGTATTGATTTCGCTTGACGACAACTACGATTAGTTATGCGTTAAGCCAATTTTCAAATACATATATACTCCTTTTTTATGGCAGTCCTGTAAAAACTAAACGTGAAGTATCGAACTCGCGCTGTAAGGGATCGGTACAACATTGAATTTTTCAAATTCAAATTAATTTGATCGTTGCATGCCCATAGGACACTTAAAAATATTAATTAATTACACTATTAAATAGACGTATATACACAAAAAATATTTTTAATAGAATCAGCGATTAAATAATGTAATTTTTCCAATGACAAAGACACTCCTCAGGGACAGTCTGAAAATTTTATATTTCTGAATACGGTAGACTTTAACTGAGTTCAAAGAAACAAAAGTATTTTTGAAGGTAGGCTTCATTTTTAAGATTTAAATTATTAGAGCAAACATAATCTGTTTGCAACGCCTTGCTGCTCCTCAAATATTAGAGTCCTAGGGAGTTGCATAATTTGTCCGTATGACCGAGCCGAATGCAAAGGCATATAGGAAATTACACTACAAACTCTTATATGTGTTATTTGTACCCTTTAGGTAAAGAACAGATTTATATGTCTCTTTTTATTTCAGACGGTATTAAAGAAGTGAGGAAATGTCGAATTTTTATCTATTGTCATAAATAATAACAAAATTTCGAATGATAAAAAATATATCTATCTGTCTGTCTATTGAGATTCTGACCAGTTCTTGGTCAATTTCTTATTTTATTGAAATAAATCTACAACATGTAGGTAATTGAAATCTGAATTTTTATATTAATTACTATGCTCGATTTGATTAACATTTAGTTAATTGTATATCGTCTTACACATGTTTTGTTTATTTATTACAAATAATAAGGTAATAAATACTGTCTTTAGATTTAATAATGACATCGTTTTGCAATTGTAGTACTTCCTAATAGTCATTAGACAGGGATTACCCTGTCTATCTCATTGGGCATGGCAATGTATGGGACAGACAATATCAATAAATGAGCAAAGGTTGAAAATTGAGCTATTAAAATGTATAATTTATTAAAGTTATTGTGTGGTGTTGTGATGGTGCGTAATCGGTGCGACTCTGAACAGAACAAGGGTACATATTTCCGTAAATCACTATCAAAATGGCTATACCTTTGAAAGGGATGAAGATATTTAATTTAGACAATTAGGTCACAGGTATTGGGAGATATATTGCGTTAGCAAATATTTTATGTAACTTTTACGATTTATATTTTCAAAGAATATCAATACAAAAATGAAATATAAAAATTATAACAAATTATTTAATCTCTTCTAAAAGTTTAAATTTTTGTAAAAATATTTCTTCAACTGTTTTTGTGGATCGCCTGAACATAAATGAAACCACTCACCGGTGGCTAAATGACGAAGTGGTTAAGAGGGCATACACTAAAAATACTATATTTCAATTAGTTTTCTACCAAGAATTTTAGAAGGATAGAAAAAAATGCCTATTAATTTCACTTTTCATTACAGAGGAAATCTTAAAAAAATAGGTAATTAAGTGAGTTGATACTTATATATACAAATATCATAATGGTTTGTGAGTAATGAATTACAAATAATTTCGCAGTATAGTATAGGTAACCTAACATGAAATTTAATTCGTTCATTCAGCATTCTATCAAACATATATTTATGAAATCTATTTTTAATTAATTAACACCAGTGAAACACAGGAACCACTTTTAAAAAAACACGCCTTACATACAGAGTCTCCTTTTTCATGATAAAAAACCAATTACGTAAATCATTACCGTAAGATCCATTTTAGCAATAAGCTGACCACTAACTCATTCTCATAGAATTGGGGATGGCAATTGTTTAAGCAGTTAACTACCCATAAAAATACTTTCTAAATGGTTTGTGTATCTGACTGTATCTTTATCTTAAGTGTAATTGTACGTTTTTTTCTATAACAATTACTTGGTTATTTTTAAATGTTTGTATCTTTTGGGAGCTTAATCACTAAGTTGCTGGTTTAGTAACCATGGCACAAATATATGTAAGATACAGTTAATGAATCATTCTGAAGAAATATTGTAGAAGAAAGAGAAGCCTTAAGGGACGTCGAATGACACTACAGAAGGGCGACTTTAATTCATAGTAATATGTGGGTAATTATTAATTATGTTTACATACTTCTGTAACATAATTACGGCTGAGGTGTTGTCTGGTTCATAAAAGCCTGGTATTTTTCTGTGTCAGCGTTATAAGTTGTCATGAGTATGTAGAGTCGGTCTTATGTACGAAGCAAGTTAAATGTAATTAGTATCATAAGACGATTTCGAAAATTCTGATATAGATGCATTCAGTGATAAAAAAAACCTATTCAGTATCAGACTTAATTTTTTTTTCTAATATTGTCTAATGTGACTGCATTGGCGAAGTATTTCGGCTGAACGTGATCTATTTATTTCTCATATTAAAATAATAAGATTAGCGCGTTCGAACTGGGATTGTGGAAGTTAAATGGCTTTCGCAAAAGTCGATTATTAGATGAGTGGCCAAAAATGTATAATCTCGGACACTGTGGCTACATTGGCTACAATCACCCACAATCCTCCCATGTGGTGGGTGATAGCTGGATCTTCCTGAATAATTCTAGCCACAACCATCAGTCCAAGTCCCAGTAAAAAGCACATTAATAGGCTGATGAAAACACAAAAGGTTATTGTATCATGGAATTCGGATTATTTTCCAAAATATGTCTTCGGTGTATCATCAATGCGAAAACATAAAAAAGGTGCACCCTATGGTGTTTTTGCTCTTTTTGTGACTTGCATAGATTGTGTATATTGATATTATCGTATTATTTGCTGTTTGTATCATAAGTCAGATGGACAAGTTGTTCGTATCGTATGTACAATCGAAGAGGCGAGGCTTCCCCCCCAGCAAATCGAGTCGCAACCCGAATAGGAGAGACAGCCGTCCGAAACGTATGGGTAAACTAGTTTATTTTGATTTTTAATATTATTTATCTACTTAGCTATCAGCCAGTTGCACAAACATCAAAATTTTCATTAGTTTATAGCGTCATTACTCATACAAATTTGACCTCCATTAGAGCTTAACGTTTTGTGCAACATACCGTATGACTTCATCTGAATGACTAAATACTTATTTGAACCACCTGTACATGACAAATTCTTTACACAAAAATCTACACAGATTACCCACCTTGAACACAATGCAAGCACACGAAAATATAATTAAAAAATTAAAATCGACATCGGAATATTCATCAAACCAAATTTAGTTCATATGTGAATTGAACAATGGTGGTTCCCTTCATTGATTCATGATCACAAATTGAAAATCGTTTAGTGTTAAATTATTAAAGTTCAAAAACCTAATTTATGTTTCATGGTCATCTTAACTCTCATTAGTTTAATCGTTCCATAAATTCAGTTACAAGTTTTTATGAAATTGCTTTATTAGTTAGTATGGATTAAAAAGGCGCAGGACTAATCACATTTGAGATCTTTCGGGGAGGTCTATGCCCAGCAGTGGGCGTCTCTCGGCTTAAATGATGATGGGTTAAATCTTACAAGCTAAAGACCAATGCCGTAGTGTCCTCTTCAGCCGAAATTATCTAATGTTATCATATTTGATCAATTTTTCATTCGCAATGCTATTCTGAAAAAGTATAGCACTGTGTAGTAGTTGATATATAGCTCGATGGCGCAGTGACTAGCGAGCTTGGTCTGCGATACACATGTTAAGCAACTTTCGCAATGGCCGGACACAGGATGGGTGACCAAAAATTTACTATCTCGAACTCCTCCACGCTTGGAAAAGCACGTTAACCATTGGTCTAAGCTGCATCTGCACTCGTTAATACCCACCAATCCACACTACGCGTGGTGGCCCATTCTTCTTATTCGATTCCATCCATAGAGAAGGCCTGAGCCTAGCATTGCGGGAGTTAATAAGCTGGTGATGAACACGATACATAGATCACTCACTCGTTAACAAGGCCCGTCGAAGCGTATCTATCGGGGCGACTTCTTCTGTAGACCTGGACGATCTCCGTCGGTGGACGGTACGGTCGCTTGGCCGGGGTCCGCAGCACCGCTTCCAGGGCTCCCCTCTCAGCGATGGACACCACGGCGACTCCCCCCGGCGTGGTCTCCGCAAACACCGGCCCGTATCGCCTGAACATGTCTGCGTGCAAATTCTCTCATTGTGACAGCGGGTGCAATCAAGTTGAATTCGCTTTGGCCAATTGTTTTAAGTTAAGATTATACTAAATTGGTACCAAGACAAGACTATATCCTATTAATATTAATGTGAAAGGTTCTTTGTTTGGATGTTTGGATGTTTCTAAACATCTATGTTTGGATGTTTGTCGGTCAATCACGCCGAAACTACCGAACGGATTTTGATGAAATTTGGTGTACAGATAGGGTATTAGCTGACTTAGATAATAGGATACTTTTTATCCTACTTAACATTTCCCTAGGGTCCACGCGGGTGAAGCCGCTGGCGAAAGCTAGTCGTTAATAAAATAAAGGAAATGCGATATTTGATGGTGGGATGCGTTCATGGCTCGGCTCATTTTAACTAGTCGATGCCGATTTTTGTGACTCGCTTTCATTGGTGATAGTTTTATTCACCAATAATGACCATAGAGATCGTACGGATGCCGTCTACGAATATAACTGATTCACTTAACAAAATTCAAAAACACTTTAACGCGTAGTTATAAGTAACTTATAAGTTTATACAACTTATAACTGTTAATATTAACATAATGTTGTAAACCCCAAATAGGTCCCATACATTAACACTGATTTGTTCTAAAAACATAACATAAACGCTCTTTAATCTATAAATATATTAAAATGAATCGCCAAAATGTATGTATGCGTAAATGACTGCACCAAATTGGAAGATTATTTTTTTATGTTCCCAATTGTTAGGACAAGGTTTATATATAAGAAAATTTAGAAAAACATAATTTATAAACAAAACGGATATATGGCGGTACGAAATTCGCCGGGTCTGCCAGTATTATGTAATAAAATCGTTTAGTTCAAAACCAGTCACAATGGTATATAGATATTTTTTATCACTGCATGGTAACTATAGACCTTAGTTATAGAATAATAATAGTACAGTTGTTATAGGCCTTCAGCACTTATAACATTCTCTTAACGGTCATAGTATTTACTACCACGCTTATAGTAGGAAGCATGGAGTCACTTGGGCCTTGTAGTATATCTGATCTTATATATCAACTTATAATCACTTATAGATCAAAATTAAGGATATATTATACGCTTAGGTGCCCTATAAAAGCATGCTGTGGGTGTAAATGTACTCGAGAGTAGATAAACTAGTAAGCTATTCTTATAACTGCTAAAATAACTCATTATAGAACTATTACAAGTAAAGTACGCCAATAAGAGTGCTAAACAAACTGGAAACCATTTGCATTTATTACTTGGTTTTTTATAGGTTTATAAATCCACTATACGCAACAATTATACGTAAAATGGATAAGTTTTATAGTGGTGTAACTTAATATTGTTATAATCACAAACCTATTATAAAGAATTTGATACAAGAATACATTGGCTTATTATGGTCATGCAAAAGTTGTTATAATCTCAACCGTAGTGGATACGCGCCGCGGCCCGCGATAGTTGTCGTTAAGCAACTTTTGCAAGGGTCGGTTATGGGATGGGTCACCAAAAAATTATTATCTGGTGCTACTCCGTGTTTCTGAAGGCACGTTTAACCTTTGCTCCTGGCTGCATTTGCTGTCGTTAATACCCTCCAATCCGCATTGGGTGGAGGGTCATGGCCCTCCTCCTTAACCACCCATAAGGAAGGCCTGAGCCTCTGCAGTGAGGACGTCTAAGAGCTGATGATGATGATGATGAATATAAAAACTTTTTTATCTTCGAGACCGAAGACTGTCACCTACACCGGGCATGCCTCGCCGCCGTTGGTTAGTGAGAGTCACGAGAAGAGAAGGAACGTTCAAAATAAAAAATGACAAATCATCAGAAAAGTTGGTTCTTCATTATTATGGTACTACCGTATGTACTTAGTTAACGACGAATGAATGATAAAGCATGATGATTGTATATATGACAACAGCATTACCAAATTAGTATTTTTATCCCAAATCGCTGTACCATAAATTAAATCTCGAATTCTATGGGTAGAATCATGACTAGAGAAATAGGCGCACCCCTGTTTCTAAATTAACCAGAATGCTGAAATCGTGTGTAGATATATTATTACTAGCCCGACTTTTATAGCAGTTTCATAAATATAGTAACCCTCACGTTTCATAAATAATCATCAATTTTCACTTTTTTAAGATTTTTAAAGTCTATAGTTATTGTGTAAAGATAAATTTTTTTATAAAATAAATTATCTTTACTTATTGTATGGTGACCACTGTAGTTAAGCTCAATATTTTATCATTATATTATCATTACATAAATCTTATAGTTTAGGCAAACGATTCTCTTTTCGGATTTTCACTTCCTACCTTCCTGGCCATAAAAGGTCAGTTGCAGCGATTAACGTTAACAGTAAAAACGAAATTTACGGCACTAGCCTTGTAATATTTTTTTTATTTTTAATTAAATTATATCCTTTATTACGACAAGGTTTATGTATTAACTAATAATAAATTGTTCAACTTTAATGTAACAGGAAGACAGTCTAGACATTGCTCTGACCCTTAGGGAAATTGGGAACAAGGCAAGATTATAATTACAAATGATAATTATTGTTTTCAGATTATAATACTACTAACAAACCAATCAAACTTAATTATAAACATTCGTTAATATTATTATTAATATATTATGTATAAAGCCTAAGATACTTTAAGGCGAATAAGCGGACGCGCTCATCTTATTGACAAATAAAACAATTATCGACCAATAAAAGCGGATGTCACCGACCAGTGTAATAATGGGTTCCCATAAAACTGTCCGATTTTTATTATAAAGTAATCGTAAACATAATCATAACATAATATCTCACCTGCATATGCTTCATGTAGTTTATTCATCTTATATCTACTCCAGAAGAGCCATCTTGTTCCTAACAGAGGTAAAGCAGGGGGCCCAGGTAAGCGCCTTGGGCGAGCATCCACCGCTCTTAACGCTACTGCAGTAGCTGCAACCACCGCGGCCACCAATAAGACTAATGTAGGAAGACCCGACCAGTCCACTAAAGGAGGGCTCGAATTTTGATGCTGAAAAAGAAACGATAGTCTTTAAAACCTAGCGTATTCATTTAAACAATATCATAATATATATTCATTAAATAAAAACGTTTGATGATTAATAGAGCAATTGATAGAGTAGAACCTTTAAAGAGAGCTAAATACAAGAGTTTTCTAAAATGGTTTTGAAATAAAAAATTATCACACGATTTATTCTACCTACACTACACTATTGATTCTACCAGCAAAGATTTTCAATGATGGTGACACGAAGGTGGTGAAAGCATTAATACAAAGAGTATGGTTGCATATTACACCATAAAGCACTTGTGAAATATTCACATATACGCAAAAAAGCCGATATCATTATCATCAACCTATCATTTTTTTAACAGGATAACATGGTTTGCATGACTTTGCATAGTTATTCAATCTCCGTAATTGAACGCTAATGGATTATTTCTAATTTACTTTACATAGAAGCAAACCACACATAATTATAAAATATAACTACCTACATACCTATAAGATTAGTAAAGATGACCACTAGGATTTATACTGGGCCCACTTTTATTTAGTACTTAAAAGTGGTAAATTTTCATTCATTCTTTCAAATAATCGTTAAAATTACATTCACAAATATAACTCATAAAAATTATTTTCTCGATAATATTTTTGTTTAAAATTCTGTTTACTTAAGTAAAACATCTGAACCAAATCACTTCTTTTTTCTCATATTTACATAAAACTGTTATCGTGCATAAAATATTATGATAATGATGTTTTTCGTACAGGCACGGATCCAACTAATGGTCAAGTTCAGTTCAACGTACTTTTGCATCGCAATTTAATATTTTTATCATTCGTGCGTGTGTCCGAATCTACTTGGTCGAGGTCTCATCGAAATTTTGTTTGCTATCGCGGCCATCGACCCGGCGCCGGCGCAGAGGTGGCCGTGCCGTAGACGCAATGCTCTTGACATTGCACTTAACTGTCGCTGACTCGTTATGAAATGTTATGTAAGACGAGACGATAGTGCCGTTAATGTTAAGACGGTATTCAATATCGTAATCAAATTCTGATGGCGTAATATCAAATGCACAGGCAGAGTTAACGCGTTCGGTCTGTGATGCGGAAGTCAAGCAACTAAAATGATGATAATGAAAAATAAATAATGTGAGATCTTCGAGAGACCTCAAAGGTAAAATTTATTTTAAGGAAAGTTTATTTTTTAGATCGTCAAGTCTTAGTGGTAATTGCAGAGCCCATACATACACCTAGTTTATAAAATATAATTATAAAAGAAAATAATCTTTTGAAAAGAAATAACTCTATCCATTGAATATTACGCTCTGAACAATTTATTATTTCTTTTATTCTATTTTGCTTTTTTTCGCTTTTAAAGTCAATGCTCACAAATCGTGCAAAAAAAAACCTTTATGTATGTTACAAATCTTGATTTTGTCTGCGTAAACTCTAAGTGAAGTGCCAATCTAATAACATTGTAGATATGAGAATTTTTTATTGACAATATTATAATGAGGTCTACTCGACCTATATTGTCGATAAAAAATTCACACATCTGCAATGTTATTATAGAAATATCTTGTTTTATTGGACACGGTTTGATCGAATTCGAAATGTTTAAAATCTGTTTCATTAAGTTCTATATATTTTTGTATTTGTATCAGTATTTTCTCAGATATGTGAAGGAATAGCTACATCAGTAAACAAAGACCGGTTACAATTAATCCATTTCCTTGTTACGTAAGGTAAATGTAAACTGTAGCACGTAAAGTTCATTGTGTACATTCCTATGTTTTTATTTAATGTAATCCATTTTGTGACTAGTATACGTATTATAATTTATTTAACTAAAAAAAATAATCAAGTATCAAAAACGTTTATCATCCTATATCTACAGATATACAAGAATTTACAAATTTACCGCCTTTTACTCACTATAAATTTTCATTAGAATCTAATAAAAGTTAATAGTAAGAATGTATGTAAAACTTTTACATAAGTAACGTTTTAATTCCCTATACAAACTTTTTCTCCCATTTTCATCTCTTTATTCGCTATTTTTCGGGATAAAATATAACCTATGTTTACCGCATATGAATAAGCTTCAACTACGGGAAGCATTTTTAAAATCGGCCCCGTAGTTTTGGAGCTTATTCGTTGCGAACAAACAGACAATAAAATCTTTCCTCTTTATAATATTAGTATTGATAATATAATGAGGTTTCGCAAACCACTTGGGATGCTTCCAGAGACCACCGGTTTATACCACAGATTCATGGTGTATGGGACACCCTGACATTGCGGTTTTCTTTAACGGTAATTGTCACTTGCGAATGCAATGAAATTTAGCGGTATTTACAGTTCGTTGAACATGTCGACGCGTTTAAAAAAACGTTATTTGCATAACATACTTTGTATGAGTTTTGCGCATAAATACATGTTTGTCTTGTCATGTTGAATTTAATGATTGTATACTCGTATATTTTTTTGAATATTGTTGGTTTGACGACCTTGATACCGCGCCTCTACGTTATATACCAAAACACACATCCAACACAATATTTATAAAAAAAATGACTTTAAATATCTCTAAAATTCAATTAATATCCTAGTCTATTTATTCTCCCAATGAAATACTCTTTGACATTTCTAAAACGATTATCATCAGACATATTACACTCAACACCTTTATTGTAAAAAATAGAACCGACTTCAAACTTAAAAAAGTGCAAAATAATACTTATCTCAAAAGCGACTTATTCAAGAAAATGCTATTGAAGTCAGGCGCCTATCATTAATGAATACCCTACAGAAAACCTCCGCCCGACTTAAGTAATATTTTTCACTTGTTTTAAGTCGGTTCTATTTTTTTAGTATTTATTTCATGCTTTTTAGTGATATTTATATTGTTTTATATAATAGGTAACATTAAAAATACTTTTTTGAAAAACGCATCAAAACCGTTTTAAATTGAACATCCGTTTTTTTTAGTCGGTCAATATACCTAAAACCTTCTCCTAAGTCTAACAAATACTATGCTGAAAACAGCAACAAAATCGGTTCAGCCAAACGCGAGATAATTCCACACAAACAAACATAAATACATAGAGGTCAAACTGAGAACTTCCGTTTATTTTAAAGATGGTTAAAAAGAAATACTTTCTCAAAATGCAATCAGTCTTCTTTTTTGAATAGACATCATTTGACCTCATTATACTATAATAAAAATTGCCTAGAATTCGACGACAAGCGCAGCGCCCTCTAATAATACGGGTGAGAGATCATAAGAGAGTTCGTCGAGATATACAATTTCTGTCACCTTTCCATTGACTTGTAAACAAAAAGGGTTAAACTTTAAAGATTCCTTATTCTTACCGTAAAACAAACGATATAAAGACAAACTCAATGGCCAAGAAGCCACCATAGTACATATATACGAGACCTAATTGCGATCCAATAGCTATGGCAGACTTTTAATAGCTCATTTATAAAACTTACATATCGACGCTGGAAAGCAAAGACGTAGTAACCCGCAAAACCAAAATTGTTCTTTAGAGCAGACTTTTTCGCTAAATAATTCCTATAAACGCCCATGGTTTCTTTTATTTTTATTTTTTTCGCTAAGTTATTCCTATAAACATCCATGGTAACAAATAAGGTGTTCCTTAGTCAATTTATACGGAAATAAGATTTTTTTTTGAGAAATATAAAGATTTTCCACTCTAAATATCCATTTAAGTTTTGCAGGTTACTACGTTTTTGCTTTCCAGCGTCGATATAATAACACATTCCTACTATCTGCTAGCTTATATAGCATTTGTTTTTTCTTATTTAATCGGCAATTAATTTGCAATAAACAACTTTAAACTCTTGACTTGATAAATAGAAGATTGTGTTGAATGAATATAAATAGATGTTTTTACTTATAATTACTAATTTAAGTACTTATTTGTTGTTGATAAAACAAATACCAAGAAGTATTAAAATAAACTGTCTACATACAATAAAGCATTGATTAATCCAAATTGGTCTAGGTATTGAATTAACGTGTTTTTGATATAATGTGTTTTAATACTTCGGATATTGTTATCATTTCACTCCACTTATTGTAGCGATTTTAAATTAGGTAATCAATGCTTTGATTATAGCTGATGCGAAAAAAACTACTAGAGAGAATGGTAAATAATACGCGACACAATTACAATTAAAAACTGAGGTTTTTAAATTTTTACTAGAATGATAGTTATTTACGAGCTGCTATCATAAATACCTCATAAGTAACTATCATTATATTGTTTATGACAGTGGAAGTTTAAAACAAAAAATGAAAATTGAATGTTTTAATTTTAGAGTCGTTAAAATGGAGGTCTCATTTGGGGTATATTTGAAGAATAAAAGAAAATTGGCAACCCCATATTGTGTAATACATAAAATTAAAAGGATCATTATAATAAATAATCTTAAGTATATTTTGTTATAATTTCAAGATAAACTAGTGAAGACTTTGAAATTCCCCTTAAGATTAAAATTAACAAAATAAAAAGGTATATACATAATAGAATAGAATTTCTACTATAGATTATAGTAAAACCTATGAGAAGCCTATGGCTTTTTTAAAATATGTGGAACCAAGACACTTATGTACGAAACACTCTTCATTGCCAACTCCGACTCAATCTTGCCTGTTTTTTATTACACGAGCATTCAAACATCTTAGTACAAAAATCAAATAGTCCTTCATTTTCTATGGAAATTTGAAAATCCATATAATAGATTTAATTAGCAAAGTTTTATATTGACAAGATACCTACTTCGAGAGTCTGATTACAAGGAAACATTTTGAATTTAACTATGATCATCAATATCGTTAGTTATTTTCAGCATTGTAAGGAAGCATTACGCGTGATTACGTGTTGAATAATTTTTCAAGTACAATTGGTAACATGAGTATACATATCGACGCTAGAAAGCAAACACCTACGTGTGTAACCTGCAAAACCAAA